GAGTCTGTTCTCTGCACCTCCATCACTGTCTGGTTTGGCTCAGCAACCAAACAGGACAAGTACAGACTTCAGCGGACAGTGAGGACTGCAGAAAAGATCATTGGTGCCAGCCTGCCCTCCCTGGAGGACCTGTACACCTCATGGGTCAAAAGGAGGGTGGAGAGGATCAGTGCAGACCCCTCACACCCCGGATACAATCTGTTTGAACTCCTCCCCTCTGGACAGCGTTACAGGTCACTGTGCACCAAGACAACCAGGCACAGGGACAGTTTCTTCCCCCAGGCTGTCACTCTGATGAACACTTAACCAATGACAGTATGATTGGACAATAAACCTCAGTGCAATACCTGTGTAAATATACATTGTACAGATTATACGGATTGGTACAGGTCTCTAGTACTCCATTTTAAGTGCTCTATTTTTATCCCTATTTATCTCATTTCAAAGAACATTCCTTTGTTGTCTGCATTGTTACAGTCTGTTCATACTGCTTATTCTGCATTGTTTGCACTTTCTGTTGCTTGTAAATACTGCTTATTTTTGTTATATTACACAGCCTTATGCTGGTTTACTGTTTGCACATTGAGAACCGATGTACCAGAGTCATATTCCTCGTGTGTCCAACACACCTGGCCAATAAAGCTGATTCTGATTCTGATTCTGATTAATGACCCGTGATGTTACTGTCAACACTACAATACCTGTTAATTTCACTACTTTGGGAATGTATGTGGTCATGCGGGGGAAGACACAGCAACCACTGGTTGGATTTACCAACCTTGGAGCTAATTGAAAGGGAGTGATGTTTCCACTACTGGGTGGGACTTAACGTTAAGTTTAAAAAAACCCACCGCTGCATGTATGTAAATGACTTGCTTCTGTAACGTTAGAGAGAACTGTTGTAAGGATGGAGATGTTACTATGTCTACATTATGCCAGTTAAAATACGGGGTTTCTCAGTTATCTGGTTTGTTTAGAGTGTTACAAATCTCATTTCATCCATACACATACCATTGTTTACCTATCTATGGAGGAGAAATTCTAATTAATGCCATTGCGGTTCATTGTTCTGTCCAATTTCAACACAACACCGGCAGCAGGAGTTCTGCTGTATTCGTGAACTATAATCTCATTTTTAGGAGGAGGCTCTTGGGTTTTATCATTCTGAAATAATTACTATTTGGAGTGATGATGAGTGCAAAGCTAATCTAGAGGTACCCAGGATTAAACATTAAATGGCTGGAAATGAGCATGCCATGGGCTCTTTAAGTTATTTTGTGGGGTTATTCATTATAGTAGAAAATGACTATGTGTGGGAGCAAGTCCAGGATGTTATACTTTATAGTCTGGGCTGATTTAAGTGACTCTTCACTGGGAAGATTTTGGGAAGTTCACACTCCAGCTCCCAGCTAATTCGATACAGAAATCAGCATTATATTTGCCAAACTTCATCCTTTGCCAGTCTTCATCCTAAAAACCTTTTCTCTTGAAATTTGAGAATTTAATAAAGCATAACTCTGATTCTCTGACTCTCTCTTTCTGATTAGCATGTTTTTCAAACAGGAATTTTGTTAGAGTAACATAACAGTTTGACATTAAATTTCTCCCACTGTTCTATAATTAAGGCTAAAAACGCTACTTTGCAATAGTAAACAATGCACCAGCTTGTCATTTCTATTTGCCTGGGACACAGATTTGAAACTGTAGCTAAGGGGTGATTCTTAATGAACTCTCAATTTTTCAAATTTGAAGGTATGTAAATTTGTTTAAACAGCATAATGACAGCCTCTACAAATGGAGAGACAGACAGAAAGTAGACACAGAGGGCACCAGTGATCAGTGAAGGATCCTGGCTTACAGCAGGGAGATATCAGAGCTGGCAGAACGGAAGAGCACGGAGAATATGGATGAAGCAACAACAAAATGGTTTCGCCTCACAATCACTTTCATTCTCCCTGAGGATAGCTGAGTGAGGACGGCAGAGAAAATACGTGTCTGCCTACTTCAGGAGACACAGTGTCATCTTTACAGAAGAGCATAAACAAAGCTGAACAAACTGTCTTAAGCACAATATGTGATTCCTCTGTATTCACCCCTCAATCTGTCTCTATGCACACATAC